GGCGGTCCGGGGGCTACTGGTTGCATCCTTGTCCTCCCTTTCCCCCAGCGGTACTCTGGCCACCCCCCTGAAATCAAGGAACTTCCTTCTGTACCATCAGTTTTATGGAAGACATTTAAGCTTATAAATAGTGACAGCTCTGGGGCAGAACTGCTGAGCAGAAGCAGCCATCACATTGCCAGCTGTCATCAAGTTCTCAGACTGGAAAAGTTCACCCTGAGACTTCCTGGCTTGCATCAGAGCACAGAGACCTGTCATTCACAAAATAAAAGGAATGGGCAGTATTAGGGTTTCAAACAACAGCGGCTTCTCCCCTCCCCAACAGGGACCTATGGACTTTTGGAGCCTGAAAAAGGGAACTGAGCTGATAAGAACCTTGGCCTTTGAAGTCAAGGGAAACAAACTCTGCTGAGAAGCAGCCTGCCTTTCCTCTGATCTCCAAAGACAAGATAAATAGATTCTACCTGTTAACCAGAGATTTTAGAAGCTGTTTAACACAGAAGCTTGAAGTTTTTCCCTTATCTTTAGAGGAAAAAGTAAACACTTCCAGACCCAGATCCTGCCTGGCAGACTGAACGGAGCCAGGTTTACAAGCCCTGCTTTTCCTGCTTCCCCCTGCTTGATTTTTCCCCCAAACTTCTCCCCTGCTTCTGCACCCTGAAGCCCCCATATATAAGTCCCAGCTCACAACCCGTGGACTGACATCTTTCCCTTCCCTGAGGGAAACGTGTCCCATGCAAAATAAAGCTGTATCCCGCTGAGAGTTCTATCTGTGCCTCGGTGCCTCCTCCATTCGCTCGCTCTCCACATCCCAAACTTTTACCTATCAGGCAGCAGCCTGCCTTTCCATCTTTCCTACAAATTCCGACTACTGTTGCTCTTCACTGTGTGCCTGAGGAGGTGGTTGATTGGGCCACCAGTAACTACTTTGTGGATGCTATTCAAGAGATCCCCAAGGCAAAGAATTTCATAGCTAATTTCAACAAGGTCATGGCTTTGGGGAAGAAGGAAGCTTTGACCAGCGATGCAACCATGACAAAGGCAGAGCTTGACAAGTGCCCTTCTGTGTCTCCAAAGCTCAGAGGCCAGACTAAGCTGATTTTCAAGCCAGACCTCACCTGAAAGGAAGTACAAGCTCCAAACCCCAAGGTGTCCAGAGGCCGGTGTCACCCTGAGCTATGTAAGGCTCTACAACGGGTGGCCATCCTCATCCCACACCAGAATGGAGAGAAGCACCTGATGTACTTGCTGGAACATCTACACCCCTTCCTGCAGAGGCAGCAGCTGGACTATGGCATCAACATCATCCACCAGGTTGGAACTAAAAATTTTAATTGAGCCAAACTCCTGAATGTGAGCTATGTAGAAGCTCTTAAGGAGGAAAACAGGGACTGCTTTATATTCTACGATGTGGACCTGGTGCCCAAGAACAACTTCAACCTTTACACGTGTGATGATCATCCCAAGCACCTGGTGGTTGGTAAGACCAGCACCAGGTACAGGTTACATTACAATGGATATTTTGGGGGTATTACTTCCCTTAGCAGAGAGCGATTTTTCAAAGTGAATGGATTCTCTAACAACTACTGGGGATGGGGAGGTGAAGACAATGACCTCAGACTCAGGGTTGAGCTCCATAAGAAAATATTCCGGCCTAAGCCTGATGTGGGTAAATATACCATGATCTTCCATACCAGAGACAGAGGGAATGAGATGAATGTGGACCAGATGAAGCTCTTACACCAAGTGTCACGAGTCTGGAAAACAGATGGCTTGAAAAGTTGTTCTTACAGATTACTGTCTGTGGAGTACAATCCTCTATATGCCAACATCACAGTGGATTTCTGGACTGGTGCATGACCCTGGATCTTTCAGTTGTGTTCAGGAGAACTGATGATTTGACTGCAATAATAGTAGCACTCAGTAAGAATTTGTTCCAGTTAATGGTTAGGCCGAATTTTTCCATTCTGTATTTTTTCAGCATTCGAGTTCTTTATGATATGGAATCTAGAACCATTGTAACAGACAGCTTTCTTCATTTTTTTGATTACAACAGTGAACTATTGTAATACACATACTTGAAGGACTAAATATAAAAAGCGGACACAAAATGACACAATGAAAACTATTTGAGAACTGTGTTGTTGAAGGACATTTACTTAGGACTGAAGTGAAGCATTTTGAGATTAAAGGGTAGAAAATAAAATCCCCAAATATCTCAGAAAAAAAAGGCACGTGCCATCACCCCCAATGCCATCTCTTGATAAGGCAGTGAACTCAGTGTTGCCGATTTCTGTTTCTGTCAGTTACCTTTCTCATTGCTGTGACAAACTACAAGGCAGAAGCAACAAAAGGAAGGATTACTTGGCTCATGGTTTGAGTGTTTAGTCCATCATGGCCCCAACAGCTGGATGGGCTTTGTCCACAGTGGAAGGAGCTTTTGGCACAACTTACATCATAGCAAATCAGAAAGCAGGGAGGTCGCTGGAAGTGAAACCAGGCTATGATTCTTAAACCTCAGTGGCTCATCTCCAGTAGCCCTGTCTGTCACTCCAAAGATGCCTCCTTCACAAAGCACGACCATTTGCACACCAAGTTGTAAACAGATAAGCCTGGAACTGGAGAGCATTGCACATACAAACCATGGGACCACTAAAAAGGCCAAGTGATGCTAATCATCTCTTCTTTAGCCGTTCATTTCTTCAATAAAGTACACATGGCCATAAGAAGCCATCTCTCAAGATTCTCAAGCAGTTCCCACTGTATAATAAGTGTAATATATTAAATATGTATTAGTGGGTATAATATCCATAGACTTCTACCCAACATTAGGCTACTAAGCAGTTAAGTTTTCGGGAGTCAACTATTGCACATTTAGGAAAGTAAAT